TCACCATTAAACTTCCTCCGTAATGGTGGTATGTTCCATAAATTACCAAGAGCTATTTTCTATTTGTGAATCTTAAATTACACACACAAGCTGTTTTGGTACTCTCATTGAATTTGATGTCAAAACAAAATTATATGGTTGGGAAAGGACAGCTGAACCAAATAACCACTGCAGTCCTCTGGATAATAATAGGTTACTAAACGAGTACTACAGTAGTCTCTTCAGTGTATTGCTTTATACAGTTGTGCTAAGTTAAAGTGCCCAACTCTTACCTTTTATAAATTTCTTCTTTTCCATTTCTTGATACCTATAGTATTCGTAAACCTGTTCAGAAATAAGTATGAAATATTGCAATGTGATGTGTGCAGTCTTGGGCCATGTAATCAAGAGTGTGTTTGCAAATGAAATATCATATCAGTTTTAATGATCACTGTTTTACCCAACTCTCTTTGGCATTCCAGCAAACTGAAAGTGAGCACATTAAGGGTAAAAGATGACGTTTAAAAAAATACTTTGTAAGACAGAAAGCTTTCTTTATTTCATCCATGGAACTTACAGTATAATGCAAAAAGTCAAGGTACAATAAAATAAAAGTGGGATGGCATCTCTCCCTATCTCCCTTCCAAACTTCTCTGAACACTTTCAGATTTGTTTCAAATACACCATAGTGGAGAGGATCCCTGTAATAGTAGGAAGCAAAGAAACTGTTTCATACCTTTTCATTCCCAAAGTCAAAACAGACAGGTTGAGCTTACTTTCTAGATATTATCTGGGGCTGCCACACAGAAGAAACAGTTTTGAAAGAAACTGCTCAACTATACTAGATTAAATATAAGATTTGCTTGGTTCAGTCTGTTCTCATTATGTATGTCTGTTGTTCGGGCTGACTTTTTTGTGTCTGTGTCCAAAAATAAGCTTATATTAAGTTAGGGCTATTTTTTAACAAATTAGAAGTCGTCTTGGAAGAAGAAACACAATAGTAAAATTCTCATTGGTGTCTTAAGTAAAGTCTATTCTCAAAAAACAAAACTCTGTAATGCTTTAGCAAAACATATGAATATTGTATGTGAAAGATCATTTGAAAGTGCTGTGTTAATTAATTCTGTGTTTTTATCATCAAAGTCATTAAAAGAGCTTGATCCGCTTCAGATGAGAGGACTTTGAGAATACCCAATAAAGGGTGACATTTAAGTCTTTAGAATGAGAACCAGCTATATAGCAGTGGTAGTATTTCATGTCTTTCCAGTCAGGTACAAATCATGCAAGTAGTCTGGAAGGAAAAAAAGAAGATACCTTAATTTTTTTTAAATCTCGGACTACTCCAAAAGTTTCTCAAAACAGGTGAAAAAAATTGCTTTTGCTTAGGCAGAGTTTGTTACTTTAGGCTTTTCTGCCTTTGTCTCTTTTCCATGCAAATTTAAGATTTAAAGGTCTTCTAGGGTTATGATGGGTAGGTTTTGGGGCATGTAAGGAGAAGGTCATTCTAGAAACTGTGAAGCTGGTGCTGATGGTTGAATTATCCAATTCTTAAAAATGTTTGAAAGATTAGAATACAGCTTAGTGTCTGTTTAATTAAGACTAATGGTCTATTATTATGAGCTCTACAGTAAATAGTGACAATGTTGAGGCTTAGTTCTTCTCAGGAACATGTTTTTAGGGACTTTTGCTCAGACCATATGTCAGTAAGATTTGATTATACTGTTACATATAAGTTCCTTTTTTTTGTCTTCTATGATAAATGTGACATATCCATTGGAAATTATAAAAGGGTTAAAAAGCTATTGTTGCTACTGAAAGTAGACTTGAAGATCTGTTAGTTCGTGCTTCTAGTGACTGGAGGTCTGCAAAATATAATCTCTTTTCCTGCCACTAAGTTAGGCAGCATTGCCTTTTGTTTAAGTGACAGAGGTAAGTAGCTTTTCTCTCTTAGATGGAAGGTTTTCTGTTCCAGTCCTCATCTAGATAGCTGATAACCATATCTACTTACCTGTGTGGTCCTGGGCTCCCTGTGCCGCACTGCAGAGTCGGCAGAATCCAGACGAGGAGCAAATAAGGGAGTCTGCAACTGTATAGATCACCTGCCATTATGATGGGGGAGGGGGAAGGAATGCAGTAGTGATTCCTTGTGCAGGTCTGCAAATCTGGAGAAAGGATCCACTCCCTTCTTCCGACCCTTCTTGGAGATCTCCAGTACAGGCTCAGAGTGTGTGTGTGTGATGTTATTGATTTATATATATTATTTATATTATATGTTATTTAATTATATATAAATAACATCACACACTCTCTCTCTCTCTCTCTCTCTCTCTCTCTCTCACCCTCTCTCCCTACTGGAGATTTCCAAAAAGGATCAGAAGAAGGGGATGGATCCTTTCTCCAGAGTTTCAGACCTGCACCGGAATCACTACTGCATCCTCAGCCACACCACTCCTCCCCCCCTCCCATAGTGTGCGTGTGTATATGTATACATATATATAATGCCAGCTCAGGTTTTATTGTTCATTTTTTTTCTCACTTGGACCATCTGGATTTTTTTATTTCATACAAGTCTAAGTCCGATGTAGCTATGTTTGTTCCTTGAAGAAGAAACACCTTTTCAAGTGCCCTCCCATGTTCCCCTTCCCTCCTCACCCCAAACACACACACACACACACACACTGCTCATATTTGTTTTACAGGTTTAGTTTATTGCAGCAGGGGTAAAATCTTACTAAGCTGACCCCAAAGATTAGAGATCTCAAATTTACCTTTAGCAAGAATGTGCCAATAAAGATTTCTTGTATTAATCTATTGAGGAGAAAACTGAATAAAACAAAAACCTTGCATTTACCCTCTATGTAACTCATAACAAAAGGGAATTTCCTTAAGCAAGGGCTGTAATGCTGAGAGACCTCAGCAGACCAGCCAAGGCTAACTTCATTTTTTTTGTTTTTGTTTTGGTTTAGTATTCTTAGCATATCAACAGATGACATCTAAAGCAATGTTTAGTGTCTTCCAATTAAGAGTATTTTTGAAGTATAAGATGCACTCAGATACTCTGCTGAATGCTAACATAAAAGTCCAGACGTAAGATTGATTTGAGAAATAAAGGGAGTGTTTTCTAGTGTGGAATAACTAAACATTCTACTTGTAAAGAACCAATAGACTTTTTGTTATAGACCATTTTCTTAGATGTTCCCTTAAAATAGAACATATGCATGTTGTGAAGGAAATTGTTGATTGTTTGAGACAGTAGAGATCCTGAATTAGTTCCCCAGTTGACTTTTCTCTAACAGGGATGTGCTGAATGGGACTCCTGGAAACCTTTTGGTAAATCTCTGGCACAACCAAATTTAAATGAAGACTTCCTTGTTTCTGATGGAGTCTTGGGGGCTGCTGAACTATCCCTGTCAGATGACTTATCTCTGGGAGTCATAAAAATACTTCTGAAGAACCCTTTAAAAATAAATAAAAGGAAAAAACCCTAGAACTTTAGAATGAGCAGATTGCACCAAATGTATGGTGTGTTTGTATCTGTCTCTTGAAGGAGGAAATGCCTCTGCTGAATCTTCATCCCATGTCCCTTCAATGGGTACAAGCCTGGGTTGGACTGTCAATATATGCTCAATATATCTTTCAGGAATAAAATATAAACATTTCCAGCAAATGTCACTGAATAAATTTGTTTATCTAGCAACATTACAGCTTTTCCTAGTTAACGTGATGAGAGAGCATGTTTTTGTTTAGCTGGGAAAACAAATGAACTGCAAGTACGTGCTTAAATGGGGAATTGTTATTGGGGCACTTTGTTAAAACATTGGCAGAGCATCTACTGCTTCAAAATTGGTTGTATTGCCTGCAGTTCTAGAATTGGTACCAAAATCCACAAGTGGGATGGCTACCATGGAACAAATGACAAACATTTTTGATATGGAACTCTTTCTTAGACTTTCAGTTACTACCTAAAATAATAGCCTACACTATGGACTTACCTTCTTTTCCTGAGATATTCAGAAGGGATTGACTTATCCCTAATTTTTTCCAAACCAGGTACAGAGAAGTGGCTACATGCCTTCCACTTACCACCCTCTTTACATGGTGACCTCATATCTCACTTTCTCAATTGCCTGTTGAAGAGTATGATTTTTAAACCATGGCTTTTCAGTTTTTCAAGTTAGTCTCATAAAAGGGTGTATACCACAAGAACTGCCTGGCTGGTTGGGGTGGGTGGTTGTTGTGGAGTTTGTTACTTGGAATGAAAGTATACGATTTTTAGTTTGTCCTTCTGTGGAGGTGGTGGTGTCTTGGCAATAGTCTTACGAGGGGAAATAATAGCAGGTCATTTAGATTTTACTTTCTTTTGATAAGCAAATAATTGCGAATATCTTTGGAGGGGAGAAAACCACTGTTGGTTGCTTAGATACCAAAAAAAAGTATTCTTTGGGAAGCACCTGCATTTCAGTAGCATGACACAAAGGAACTGAAGGTAAGGCAGAAATCCCTCTGCTGAATCTCTGTTGTTTCAACATTGTTTTATGGATGAGTAGATTAAATTGTTAAACGTAGATTGACTCATGCAACATAGTCTGGTTAAGATTTTAATTAAGAAAAACCTGACTTATAATGCTTTTTACTAATGTATGGAAGCAATCATAAAGAAAATGATTATGCTGTTCATATAAATATCATTAATGTCTGCTGTAATTGGAAGCACTGATGCAGTGAATGCTCCTGCTAATGAGAAGGGAGTCAGACAATCCTCTAGTACTTACAAATTGTGATTGGATAGGTGTCTTTACATGAAAGGGTAAGTGAGATGGAAAAACAAGTTATTCAGACTTCATCTTGCATTTAACGTTGGAAGCACTGTGTATTAAGAAGAGCTCAAACATATCTCGGTAGTGCAGAGCAGCCTAGAATTAATTTATACATGTGTTTGTGCCTATGCACCTATAATTTTTCTTTACTTCATTGTAACTAGGACTTGATATATATTTTTTTTGTTTTTGTCCTCCTCTCAGGGAAACTGTATCAATCTGACTGAAGCTTTGACCCTCTATGAAGAACAGCTCGGCAGGCTTTATTGCCCTGTGGAGTTCTCAAAGGAAACTGTATGTGTACCCTCATACATGGAATTGTATCCTTGACAAATATAAAAGGTTGAGCCTGTATGATTAATAAATCAAACAACCCCAGTTCGTCGGGTTGGAGTGAACTAAATAGTTCTTTTCTTTAAATGAACAAGACAACACTTTTAAATGCCCTAACCTAATCACATTTTGTAATTACTAAACAGGAAGTGAACTACTGTAGTAGTGGTTGGGCGGAGGGAGGGAACGGCTTAAAAGTGCCATGAAACCACAGCTCCCATTTGATGTCCTTATGAGAGGGGCCCGGCACCTTTCAAAATTGGGCCACTTGTTCCTTAACTCTCCTATAAAGTTGTCAGCTGTGGGGTATACCTCCACAGGATAAACTCATAAACCTGTGGGAATGAAAAATCAAGGAGTCAGGGACTCAGCCAGGATTTTCAAGGCCCAGGACAAGCTGCTCCTCCCTCCCCTCAAGTCTCATCCCTTCAACTTGTCTTTGTCTCTGTCCCTTCACCTTGATGATTATTTCCCCTCCTTGGTCTAAATAGCCACTTCCTGTGGAGAAACAGAGGAAGGAGGGTCAGGAAATGTTTCCTCTGAGCTTCTTGTATGGTTTTTTCCCCCCTCTCTCCCATCAAGGGAAGAGGTTTGAGGCATGGAAAGGCTGCCCAAGTTTTCAGCTTGCCAACTATGCATCAATATTCAGATAGCATCTTAAAGCATCTTTAAGACAAATAGAAAAGGCATAAATGCCATCTCTTTTGGCTTTACCCTTATGATTAACAGCTTTAATGTATTCAGTAGACAATATTTTTCACTGTCTATTATATAGGCCATGCCTTGCTTAATTTAACTCTGTAAATGGTTTGGGTGCATTTTCTATTAAAGACGTTTAAGTGTTTGTTGTGTTGTTTGTGCAGTAGTATTGCAAAATGCTTCTACATGAACTATGGCAAGAAGTGCTACTGCATTCCTCTGGAGAGTATATTTAAATGTTTCTAGTGAGGTAATTGGCATGAAATGCCACTAAAGCTAATTCTGTTAATTCTGGCTACTAAATAGGCATAATCAGGCTTCAAAGTGAACAGCTCTTATAAAGGTCAAGTTTTCATTCATTCTGTCTGTCAACATGACAAGATAACACCATATATTCAGAAATGCTAATAAGGGCGGCAGGAGTCATGCTGCCTTCAGACTAGCCTCTAGCATGTTTGCAGGACATTACTTTTGTTTGTTTAACTTAGACTTCTGGTATGCATTAATGTTAATAGCATACATTTTATTCTAAAAAAGGAAAACTAGATATTAAAACTAATAAGTATTCCAGATAAGTTGACATAAGAATGGGAAGGAAATTCCATCTGTACTCTGTTTAAATCACTGTCATCTGTTAGTGCTGCAGAGCAATGCACACTACTCTCATCCTAAAATTTGCCCGTGTCTTCACCTTACCTCCCTCCTTCCCATGCCACAAGGGGGCAAGTAGATTTACACAGAAGTGGATCTAATCTTCCTCATACCCCATGAATATCAGAAAGCAGGGAGCTCAAGCAGATCACTTGCCATTCAGGAGATACGCTGCCTCTTCATATCTTCTGCACAGTGGAAGTGTGTTGGTTTTGCTGTATCTGGATCCTTCTGCACTCATGGAGAAGGGACTAGAATCTGCTCCCAGCAGAACAAAATGTTGTGCTAACTGCTTCCAGGCCAATGTACAACAAGAAGAGGGAAACATTATGGGGAATACCCAAGATCAAAACCAAGAAAGTGTGATGGCAGTCAAAATAAGAAAGGGACAGAAATGACAGAAACTATAAGTAGAAGTCCTGGCAGTTGTGGAACAAATCTTTTCATATAAATACAGGAAAAATCCATGTCACTAAATTAAAAACATGAGTGTGAGGCAAAAAAGTACTTCACAAAAATGGCATCTAGCCCTAAGTGTCAAAGGGGTCCTACTTCCTGGGATCAAGAAGGAATGGTGGGGATATTACCCATCCTATCTTTCTGAGCTATAATAAACAGGGCTTATTTGGAGATTTATTTCACTTTAGTTCTAAAAGTGCTTCTTTGACAATATACTACACAGTTTGCTTTGTTCCTTGACTTTTTTTTTCTTCAGATGGGTTTTCTACGCTATTTGGAAGACAAGAACTGAAGTGTGAAGATCAAGATATTCTAATTGTGTGCTGCATGGAGCATATAGGCTTGCCGCGTGCTGCATATTGGCATCTTGAGCCTTTAAATTATATGCTGTAGATGATCCTGAAACTTAGTCATGCTATTGATTGTGAATTCTTTAAATGTTTTTTATTATTATTTTAATTTAAAAGCAAATGGAAAATGTATATTTTGATGAGGTAGGGTGTTATTTTTGAAAGTCAACTTAAAGATGAATTAGCAGCAAAACTATAGCTGCTGAATGCACTGAACCTTTAGAATGTGATCCTTTTTATTTTTTTGTAGATCTTCACAAACTGATTAAAAAAAGACATCTTTAGCATTTCATTCCTGAGGGTGGTCCATGTATTTTTTTTCTCCAGATATTAACTCCCTTATAGATTATGGTGCTTTTAAAGGATGGCGGGTTTCTCTTAAGTGAATACCACAATGCTTCCATTACAGAAAATGTGAAGGGCATAACATTTTTAAAGAATACCCTATGCCCTTAGTTATAAAGGGAAGGAGCTAATTTGAGGTTTCATTTGTTTATGCCTTAGTTTAATTCATCATGCTACTGTAGTCTCTTCAGCAGACAAAGCTCTGATGTGTCACCGTTTAGAATTACTTAGCCCTGTCACATTTATTAGTTTGATTTTAATATGGATTAAGAGTAGGTTATAGAGGCATTTTCAGCACCATAACTTTGAAAATTAAAGCCTATTTTCATTCCCACCAGAATGTGGGATGTTGAAATGTGTAATGAGGCTTCTAGTAGGCAGACGCTCCTTACTTAGCTTTATGGCAGAACATTATGTCCATAGAGAATGAAAGTCGAGTAAAAGGGAAGACGAGAGAAAGTGATTTAGGTCCTTGTGCATTCGTATTCTGTGTGTGCTTAGATGTATTCACTTCACTAGGTTAAACTCTGATCATATGGATTCAGGTGTCCACAGTGACACTAATTCAGGATTAGGCCCAGACGCTTCCTGGCTCGCCGAGCTCTGGTCAAGTGAAAAAATTCACTGGTAAGTCAAAATTCCAATAGAAGGAAGATTGCATTATTTTTTGTGGGATTTTTTAAAGAAAAAAATTTCTGCCCTTCAATATTTCTGCACATTATCTGAAATTATATTTTTGTAAAAGCTTGCTATTTACCGATTGCCAACTTTATTGTAAGCAGAACATTAAAAAGATTCCACCTCAGAGGAGGTAAGAAGTCTAACCCTTTGGGATGTCTGAGAGAATAAAAAAATTCACTGTCCCTCCCTGAGTATCCAACATCGTGGACCAAAATGAGACTATCTTTAAACACCAGGTTTCCTATGTACTGTAGTTTGAGGCAAAGTGGTTTCCCTCCCCTCCCCACCTCTCCCCCCCATTAATAATGAATTCAGATTGTCAAAAAACTAGATTTCCAATTATTACGCTCTGAAGAAACAGTACAACTGATGTGTTCTGTTATATGTGTCAAAACTACTAATGAATGTAAGTAGCCTCTGAAGAAATCCAAAATGATATTAGTTAGAACCCTTGCAAAAAAAATCTCCTTTGCTCTTCACTTGGTGTATATTTTTGTATGTATGGTTATGCTATTAGAGACACCACTTTAACTTCGGAAGCTAAGTGAAGTTCTTTGTATTCCCTGTTTTAATTTACCGCTTTAAGTGATTGCAAGCAGCATTACTTATTTCATACACCTGGGGCCAAATCACTCCTTGATTTACAGCCTGTGCAGTCCTATCAACTCTTCAAGAATAGCCTCCTTGTAGGAAAGTGGAAAGAGCCTTCTCCTGGTCCCTAGGCATTCGTGGCAGTGTCACATCCAGAGCACAGAACATTGTAGTGATCATACTGCTAGACCCTGAACAGTTGTAATTGTGCATTTGTGGCTGAAGGTTGAAGTCAGTGGGATTATATATGGGGTGAAAACTAAGGCCCTGATCCTGCCAAAACACCTGTGCTTAACTTCACATGCATGAGTAGTGCCGTTTCCTTGGTTGTGATGACTCATGTATGTAATGTTAAGTGTGCATGCATGGATGCATGCAGGATTGAGGCTTAAGATAGCCCGTGTCTTGATGTTTGGAGTGATTCTACCACACACCCCTGCCCCCCCAAGCTTGTGGATTAGAACGTGATCTAATACACTTTATAGGTTTGTAGCACCAAGACTATTGCTTTGTTTTGCATAGATACATGGAATTAGAGCTGTTTGAAAGTGGAAAGATGCTGTGAAATCAGTCCCTGGAATGTTCAGTGAGGGAGAGGAGTCCTAAATTGGTGGGTGATGGGGAGGTGAGAGGAAGCATTGTTTTGAAAGCTGATCAGTACATATGACAATTTTTCCTCTCATATTGATATTGTGAAAAGAGGGTGGGGAGTGTAACTTTTGTTTTGGAATGTTTTTATGTAGACTTTCTTAAAGTGATAGATGTAGTAGAAAACAGACAGGCAAACAGTGAACACTGCTGTTTTTCTCTTTACATTACTACCTTGTTTAAAGCACTGTTGTTCATTATTTATTTGTTATTTCTGTAGTGTAAACTTGAAACAAAATCAGCTTCATGTGAATGTCAGATGAAACTTGCTATAGTTGAACAACACCTTACATTTAAAGCCAGTTGGGACATAGTTACGAGTGCCTCACTACACATGGAAACAGAGACTGAAAAAATGGTTTTTATTCTTTGCACTAAATGCTGCTTCCACCAAGAAATGTGATTAAATATTTAAAAACTTGATTGGTAGTAATTTGACTGTGCTGAAAGAAGACTGCTGGCATTGTATCTACTGCACGAGTGCAGTGCACATGTTAAAATAAAGGTACACTCTTATTATCTGTATGACTGAATTGTTAAATTCACTTGTGGATTCCCGTATTCAGTATTAAAGACCATGCAATGGTCTAATGTGGTGACCATCAATGTGTCTCCATTCCTTTCCAATCCCCACCCAATATATATGCACAATATTGTTGAGTTTTGTGTCCTTTTATTGAGACATTAAAGGAGTTTTTCCTGCCTCTCATGATCAGCAATTTACGTTTTTTTGGTTTTTTTACCATCACGCAAGAATGTGCTAGGAACTTTATTGTGACCTATAAAAGAAGAGGTCCTTGCCATGAACAGCTTACAGTAAAATTCCGGCCTGCCCTGTGATGGGGAAACAAAACGACAGGACTGTGGGAGGACATGGGTTCCAGCAATATAATCGTATGGTTACTTGGTATTGACAATGGCAAGTGCAAAACTGCATTTATATATACATATGTAATGTTAACTCGTAGGAGAAATTGTAGAAGTGACTATTCAGAAGGGATTTAAATGGAAGTTGATGGTTTGTATGTATGCTGGGTTGGCAAAATGGCTTTAGAAGGACATTCCATACATGGGGAGGTATAGAGAAAGATGCTGAGGAAGGGACATCAGAAGAAAAAGAGGCATCAAGAATAGCATAGTTTGTAGGAGATAGGGCCTTCTGAAAGAGAGAACAAGTTTGAACCTGCTAACAGGACAATGAGCTAACAACGGGTTTTAAAGAGGGGATTCCTCTGGTCAGTGCTAGAAGAAGGTGACTTTAGAGGCATAATGCTGGATGGATTTTGGTGAGTGGGATCAAGATAACTGGAGAAAAGGAAGTTGTAGATGTCCTGGTGGGTGATTATGACATTGGTGCAGAAAAGAAGAGAGCAAGTTCTAGATACTTTGGGGAAGAAGGCAAGATCTGTTTGCAACTGTGTATGGCGAGAGGAATTGAAGGTCATTCTAGGTTGCAGACTTTGGCAATGGAGAAACCACTTGTGTTGACAATAATGGAGAATGGTGGAGAAGATACAAGAGAACATAAGAATGGCCGTAGTGGGTCAGACCAAAGGTCCATCCAGCTCAGTGGCCAATGCCAGGTGCCCCAGAGGGAGTGAACCTAACAGGTAATGATCAAGTGATACATCACTCATGATTTTATATACCTCTATCATATCCCCCCTTAGTCTCCGCTTTTTCAAGCTGAAAAGTCCTAGCCTCTTTAATCTCTCCTCATATGGGACCTGTTCCAAACCCCTAATCATTTTAGTTGCCCTTCTCTGAACCTTTTCTAATGCCAGTATAAGAGGAAGAAAAAGCACCTCAGTTTTGTCTATGTTGAGCTTCAGTTGTTGACAAACTTCCTTGTATGCAATATCCGAGGGGGGGGGGGGAGTCAGATGAGCAGAAGATTTGATTTCTCAGTGTAGATAATAGCCTAGGTAATGGGGAACTGTGATATTGGATGAGGTTGCCCAAAAATAATAAGTGACAGCACCACAATCTCCCATGGAGAAGGGCAATGGAGAGGAGGATTAGCCACCAAAGGAGAGGGTGAAAAAGCAGTTGGAGAGAAAGAAACCCAGGAGATGAGGATGTGTGTGTGTGTGAGAGAGAGAGAGAGTAATTAATACTGTCAGTGGAAAGGTTAGGAAAATGAGGTTCTTCGTGGCCTTTGTGACGATATCTTCTGTGGAATGGAAAAAGTGGAAGCTGGGTTAGATCAGGAGTGAGCGTTAGGTAAGGAAGTTGAGGTAGTGATTGTAAACAGCATGTTCAATGAGCTTTACAGGTGCAGGGAAGAATGGGGAAATAGGATTGTTGGCTAGAGTCGATAGTGTTTAAAAATTGGGAGTGGAGGGAGGGGTCATAGGGTCAAGGGTTGGGAGAAACTGGGTGGGAATTGGGGTAAATGAAACAGCCAGAGAGATTGGAAAGGGAGAGAAGGCAAGAGGAAAAACCATGACATTAAATTAGGAACGTGAATGAGGCAAAAAAATGTTGGTCCACAGAAATAGTGTGCAGCACTAAGTGTCTGTCTGAGAATTGGAGTGGGTGGTGTACTGGCGAGAGGAGTAAAGGACTCATCATTGGCGAGCGAATTTGAGGGAGTCAGCTGTGAAGTAATGCTCTGAGAGCGGATTAGTAAGGGATGATAATGGAGTTGATATCCTGGTAAAGATGGACTGGTGATCAAGAGGGGAGTAGGCAATGCTAAAGGAGATGAGATGGTCCAAGGGGGAACTCTATTAAGAGATTAGAATGAGCATTCCTTAGTGGAAATAATAGCCTTGTTTGGTGCATTGGTGAGTTGAGTTAACTAAGGTCAAATGAAGAGGTAGGAAGTGAAGTGGCTGGCTGGTTTATCAGAATGAAAGTTGAAGGGTGGGAGACTAACTGGAGAGGAAGAGAGCTTGTTTTGGGAATCAGAGAGAAGGGCCATGGGGTAGATATTGTGGGTGGGTTGGTTGACAGCAACATGGAGGGTAAGAGCAGAGTTTAATGTTATGCAGCACAAAGGTGTGGGAAGAGGGAAGTTCTTGAAATGGCAATATTAATTATTTGGGTCATGGGCTATTCTGTTTTCTTCGTCTTTGACATTTGTTCTACTTTATTCTTCACTAATAAAGCAGTATCTGAGTGATCTTTGGCACTCTGATGAAATTTTAAAACAGTGCTCTGAGTTGGCCAGCAATAACATAACTAGCGTGTGCAGATCTAGCACTTTGCTATTGTCAAATATTTTTAGTTTTCTGGCAGCTTCTAATGTATATTAATTTGCCATTTAGCTTTCCTGTAGTGCCATATCAAAACTAATATTTTTGCTTCCTTTTTTCTCATGCCTTGCCTAAATATTGCTCTAAAAACTTACCTACATCCTGGGAAAGAATATTGACTCTTTACTTATGATTCTTGTGTACTTTGAATGCTATTTTATAACCACCCATGCATTTTTTTTCTGGGAAACTAACCGGAGTTTCCAGGTAACAAGTCTTATGACAGTGGATAAAATTTTCAAAAACACCTACGTGAGTTTCAGAGCTGAAGTTCAATTTTCAAAAAAGACTTGAAAATTTTAACCTCTGGGACTTAAGTGTTTAAAACACCTAGTTTTTTTTGGTAAAAGCTTTTCCACCTCCAGGGTCAGAAGCTTAACTTAAAAGTAACTGTAAAACACTTGGAGGAAGGGACAGCCACACACCAACCAAGCTCTTGAGTTGCATCTCCAACTGCTTCTCAAGATACCATGTCTCAGTTCGAGGTTAACTGCACCTCTTTCCCCCTCTGGTCTGCTCCAGGGATGTTGCCTTTAGGTGTGAGGTCTCCAGCCATCACCTCTCTGGGCAGGGACCTATGTCCCTTTCCCTTCAGACCAGGGATTTAGGCTTACAGTCCCTTTGCAATTCACTGTGCTTATCCCAGCAGGTCTGACCTTAGTCCAGCACCTGCTTTTTGCCCTCTCACTATCTCAGGGACAACGATAGGTGATCAGTGACCCACCAGCTTTTGCAAAGCACAGTACATTTATTTTAGCACAAAAACATTACAGAGAAAACGTATAAAACAATGATCTACACACTTGCTAAGCGTCACCCGTCTTCCACATGGAGACCATGGCACACTTCAATCCTTCAACCTTTGCAATGGGCTTTGCCCTCTTGGTTACAATCTTATATCAGTTTTTAGATCTAAATGAGAGATCCTCAGCCAGCCCAGACTGGTCCTTAAAGCCCCAAATCTTTGTCTGCTGGGCCTCTTGAACCCAGTCTGAGCCAGTATATGTAATTCCCCCAGGGATGGCTCTTCTCTGGAGGAGTTTACCTGTCTCGGGATTTTCAGTAATTACTCTCCATTGATTTTAGCTCCTGCAGAAAGTTCTGTAATCCTCCCCCATGGAGCTAATATAAAATCCCTAGCTCACAATGACACACACAACATTTATAGATGCCAAAGTTTGACTAATCCCTGGCACTCACAGCATTTGGCCCATCTCAATATAATAAATAACCCATTGAAGCTTCCTAGGTCTCACATACATCACACATTTCCTCCCAGATGTTCTGCTTCAACTTAAGTTCAACATGGTTTTCTTCAAACCCGCTCCTTCCTTTAATGATTCCACTTGATTCCCCCATGTGAGTGGGATCAGAATCAAACCTTCTCCATGCACAGGAGTGGAGAATGGAAAAGGAGAAAAAGTATTGCACCTGTAATCCAAGGAGCAATCTGTTGGTCTCTTTCTGCCACCCATACTGGTGATTCCAGACATTTAGGTAATACTGTTCATTTAATAATTGCCGTTACTTTATGGAGACTGAGGGAGTTGTGTAGCACTGTTTTTTTATAAATGTCATACACCCCTCAGGTTATCTGTTTTATTAACCTGCCTGTCTGCCTGCCAGAGGTAAATCAATAGGGAAGCTGTTAGTTGGGGAATATCAACCTGGCTCCATCTTCCCAAGACTAAGCCAAGGATCAAAGAGGATCCTAAACCTTACTGATGATGGCCTTGGGAAGGAGGGGGCTACCCAGGGCATGTCAGTGAGAGCAAATAGGCATGCCAGGAGATGCAGAGACAGAGAAAGCATGCTATGAGCAAGACAGTCTGCTTCCCTCTCCCCCCCGCTCCCCTCCCCCCCCTCCCCCCCGCCTGAGAGGGGTTAGCTGGGTAAAGATTAAGGTGTAGGAAAGGGGAAATGAATGCACATATAGGAGGCTTTGTGTTAACCCTTTGTGTGCTATGTACCTTTGGATGAAAATAAAACAATGCTTTGTTCTGCAGAAGCTGTTTTTGAGTCACTGGTCAGCCACTGTCATAGGCTCCTGGAGGAAAAGGCTTACAAGTGCTGAACTCCATTGGGTCTGTTGAGGTAACAAGGTTGGGGACTGGGACGGGGAGCGCTGCAGCTCAGAGATCCCAGTGAAGAGTGGTAGGAGTGTAGGGTTCTACCCTAAGTGAGGCGCTGGGAGCCGGGCCTGTCACCTGAGGGGTGCATTAGAGAGGGGCTAAACGGGGGCCTAAGGCACAGCTCACCAGGTAA